TTTTCCCCAGTTATTTCATTATATTGTTATACTATCACTTATTACCATTCCCTTCTCCCACCCATCATTTTTTTCCCCCTAGTGTCCTCCCTCCTGGGCATCGCATTCTCCTCCAATCTCTCCAGTTGCACCATAGCAAAGCATCTGGGAACTTCCCTTTCCTGCTCTTTGGATTTGTTGTGTGGTTTCCTGGGTCACTGGTCTTTCCCTTTTTTTATCCTTGTTTTGCTGCAGAGTATTTTCAAGCAACTTCCCCAAAATGAACATGTCAAGAGGTAAATGTTCTAAGTTCTTGCATGTCTGAAAATGTCTTCATTCTACCTTCACACTTAATTGTGTTTGGGTACAGTATTTTTTTTTAATTGAAATATAGTCAGTTATAGTGTGTCAATTTCTGGTGTACAGCATAATGTCCCAGTCATGCATATATATACATATATTCATTTTCATGTTCTTTTTCATTAAAGGTTATTACAAGATATTGAATGTAGTTCCCTGTGCAATACAGAAGAATTGGTTTTTATTGATTTTTATATGTAGTGGTTAACCTTTGTCTGGGTACAGTATACTAGTTTATAATCATGTCACCAAAGAACTTGGAAGCTGTTAGCTCATTGTGTGTCAGTATCTGTGTTTCTGATAAAGAAGTCTGATGTCAGTAAGACTCTTGTTCTTCTGTAATGTGGAAGATGAATTGCTCCTATTTTACTACTGTCAAGTCAAATCGTAACAATTCACTTTTCCACTTTAAAGCTGAGCTCCACAGGTCTGCCTTCTCCTTTTAATGCTAACTTACGACATTTCAGAGCCCGACTTTGAAAATACAGAACTTCATAATTTAACAAGTCTAGTAAAGGGATGAAAAAGATGTTTCTTCTCTACTGCAGCTACAGAGGGAGAGGCATTCTTCCTCATCTTAAGACTTGGTCAAAGGATCCGATGAGGTAAGGTGTTACACATGAACTCTCACAAGAGCACCAGTCTTGTTTCCTATGCCATATGAAGTCTTGCACAAATATTTATAACTGCTAGCAGCTCGTTCTGTTCCCTCTAATATAAATCTGTCATTGGAATTATTATTTGAACAAAGGACTCTTGTAGATGCTAGAGATTTTAGAAATTATTGCCATTGTCATGTGGACATAACCTTCCATGACACCTGTAATTTGATCTTACTTGTTAAGGCTTGTTAAGAGTCTTATTTGTTACCCTGGTGATAATGTTGTAGTTGACGCCTATGTTTCCAAGTAGTATCAATATTACCAGCGTTATTTCATCAAGTCAGAAGAGGGTCCTTGGCACTCTCCTCTTCTTATTTGCATAATGGACAAGTAAGTCTACTCTGCTAGAGTCCTTCACATGACAGAGTTTGTCTTGTCTGTTTACATTTCCACACGGAATATATTCAGTTGCTTCAGCACTATGGAACATAGCAACAGTTTCTCAAACCAAGAGTTGGTTTTATAAGCTACTTCACTTCTAATACCTGAGTGCTATTCACATCATGTTGCCTTTTCAGTACTATTTGCAGCATTTCTGTATCATTTCGATGTCCTTCAGGAACTTTTGGAGGGGAAAAGAAAATTGAATGACAATATAAAAAGGCAAAGTGGCAGTTCCTTTAATTTAAAAAATTTCACTTCCCCTCCAGACATATACCATGGAGGACAATGTCCTAGAATATTCTTCTAAATATGGTAAAAATCTTCCTACCAAAACCAAAAGTATTCTCTGTGTTACCATAGTATTAAATCTTTACTAAATCTATTGTGCTATGGAGTAATCAGTTCTAGGACATAGAAAATAGAAAAAAAACTATATTGTGGAAAAGAAACTTCCCTCAGATTCATATGAACCTCTATATCATCATTGAAAGTAATCAGACAATAGACAGAACAGAGTCCAGAAAAAGGCCCATACATAGAGGATCACTTGATTTATCACACAGGTGCCAATGAAGATTTATGGGGAAAGGAGAGGCTTTTTAATATATGGTACTGGTTCAAAGGATATTTGCATTTTAAAATTGGATAGATATTATCAAAGTATTTACCACAAAGCTAACTCTAATTTATACTCTCACCATCATGATTGAAGACTACTTCATGGCCTATTTATGTAAATGTTCAAGAGTGTTTGCAAAGAATGGATATTCTGTTTATTGAAAACAAAGTACTCTTTCTTTGGGTGTATATAATGCAGTGCATTCATTATTCAAGCTACAAGTATTTACTGGATGCCTTATACATTGTAGGTATAGCTCTAGGCCCTGGGGAATTGGCTAAAGGCAAAGTGCCTACTTTCTTGGAGCTTACATTCTTGTGGGGGGAAAACAAATAATAAACAGACAGAAAAAATATAATTTTATAGGGCTCTATGTTGTATGAGGGAAAAACCCACAGGGCAAGGGGTTAGAGATACTAGAGGGTGATGGCTTTGGTTCAGATAGGAGAGTTAGGGAAGGCCTTTCTGCAGAGGTGCCTGCATAAGAAAGAGGAGGCCAGGTAAAGTTTAAAGGGAAGGTGTGTGCCCAGGAGAAGCTCAGGGAGTGGAAAGGCCCTCAGTCAGGAAGGTGCTTGGTGTGGGAGAGACTCAGAGAGAGGCCAGTGTAGCTGGAGAGTGGAGGAGAGATGCTCACAGAGGTGGGCAGGGGCTGGATCGTGCTGACTCTGTTGGCCATAACAAGATGTTTAGATTTTATTCCAGTGTAACAGGAAGCCATTGAAGGATCTTCAGCACTGATGTGGCATGATCTGATTTATACTCAGAAAAAGTGATTTCCATTGCTGTGGGGAAGTGAATTGGAAAGGGAGGAAAGGAAGCAAAAACACCTTAGTTGTGGCCACAGGGACAGTAGCTTGGACTAGTTGGTAGCTGGGAAGTGGTGAAATGTGACCAAGATCAGGACATTTCTGGATGTTGTAACAGTTAGGACTTGCTGATGTTTTGGATGTCAAGGGTGAGGTGGGACCGGGGGAGGAGAGGAATCAAGGATGACTCCTAAGTTTTGGGCCTAAATAACTGAGGGAGAGATGATTGAGGATGGTGACTGTTGGGGCACCAGAAGAAAAACCTTCATGTATATGAGTGGAACAACCCAATGACCATCAATAGATGAATGGATGAACAAAATGTAGTGTAACTATACAATGAAATATTATTCATCTATGAAAAGAAATGACATACTAACACATGCTACAGCATGACTGAACCTTGAAAACATGATGTTAAGTGAAAAGAAGCCAGACACAAAAGAATATATGTTTCATCATTCCATTCACATGAAATATCCAGAATAAGCAAATCTACAGAGTCAGAAAAATAGATTAGTGTTTGCCAGGGGCTCAAGATGGGGAGGAGGAAGTTGAGAGTGACTGCTTAATGGAGGTTTCCTTTTGGGGTGATGAAAAAGTTCTGGAGCTAGACAGTAGAGGTGATTGCACAACACTGTGGAAGAACTAACCACGCATGGAACTGTATACTTTAAAATTGGTTACAGTGGTTAATGTTGCATTATATGTATTTTGCCACAATAAAAAAATCTGAGACAATAGCAAAAATTTCAGGATGTATGTGGAGTAACTCGAGTTTAGTTTGGGACATGTTAAATTTGAGATGCCAATTAGGTATTCAAATAGAGCTGGATAAAGGAATCTGAAGTTCAGGGGAACATTCAGGACTGGAAAAGTAAATCTGGGAGTCATTAGCATAGGGATGTCATTTAAAGATTTAAAGACTGAGAACTGTGTGAGATCATCTAGGAAGGCAGTGTAGAGAGAGAAGAAAGGGAGGACTGAGTCCTGGGCTACCTTGATACTGGTCCGGAATAGGAAGAGGAGCCAACAAAGCAGAGTAGGCACACTGGCTCCACAAAAGTGGTAGGAAAGTTAGGAGAGTGTGGCATCTCTGGAGCTCAGGTAGAGAGCATTTTGGGGAGAGAGAGCACCAAAAGTGTCAATTACTGCTGAGAGATGGAGTAAGACAAAGACAGTTGGATTTTATTCCTTGGAGATCCCTGTGATTTTTACAAAGTTGTTTGTAGTTCCAAATGGTTAATGCATTACTCAAATATACTTGCTTAAAAAATTGTTTTTTGGTCTATCAGTTTCTTAAATAGATATATGAAAGTTTTCCTCTGCCATTAGAGATTGATCAATTTTTCTTTCTTCTTGTGTTTCTAGTGGCTTTTGCTTGTTGAATTTTTAAGCTCTGTATTAAGAGAATAAAGTTCTTAACTCTCATGTCTTGTTAGTGAATTGTGATTTTTATCATTCGGAAAATAGCCTTTCCTCCTTTTAATTGTAGTGGCATATAGCTGGACTTTTTTTATTCCAAATCAAAACTTGGTTTTTTAATATGGGAACTTAACTCACTTACATTTTTTATTGTTAATATGTTTAAATATAATCGTGTTATCTTGACTTACATTTTCTTTTCAGGTGGTTTTTTGCTGTTTCTTCTTGCTGTCTTTTGTTAAATTGATCAGGTTTTCTTTATTCCATTTGTCTTTCAAGGATTGGCAAAGTTATACATTCAGTTTCAGTTACTTACATAATTAACTTAAAATTTGAACTCTCATGGTTATACATTTTTTAAATCAGCATCTAGAATTAATCCATCTTTATATCTTCCCATTAAATAGGAAATGTTTACTCTGACTGCCTCCTTCCTCCACTGTTACCTCTACAAGTGTGAACAGTTTTACCAAATCAGTTTTGTTTTACTTAAGTTTTACTGTTTGTTCTGGCTCAGTTTTTTTCTTTTATCCTACATCATCTTTTTCTTTGGGTTACCTTTGGTCATTGTTGTTTTTGTTCAAGTGCATTTTTGAGTACTGTAATTATTTTAGAGATAGTGCGTTTGTCGCAAAACTTCTGAGTCCTTGTATGTTAAAAATGTCCCCAGTTTGCTCTCACACTTCATTGTAAGTTCGCCTTGGTATAAATTTCTAGGTACAAAATCATTTTTCCTTCAGAATTTGGAAGATATTACTCTGTGTCTTTAGCACCCAGAGTTGCTGATGAGAAGTCTGATGCTAATCTGCTTCTTGTTCCTTTGTAGATTTTATTTATGTAGGTTTTTTTAGAATCATATTATCTCTCTGTGGATTTCTTAAATTTCTCAACGATTTGTCAGTGGGCCCTTTAAATCTGTAATTTGTGCTTGCTTCAGCTCCGGAAGTTTTTGGTTTTTTCCCCGAAAATAATCTCCTTTCATTGTTTCTGTACCTTTCTTCTGGAGCACCTATTAAATCTATTTCAGACTGCCTGCATTCGTTCTCTGTATCACTTAACTTCTTTCTCACATTTTCTGCTTACTTGGTCGTTTTTATTTCAAATTTTGGGAGACTTTTCTACCTTTATCTTTCAGGTCACTAATTTGACTTTTCAGTGTTTAAGTTCCATCAATCATTCACAACAAATATTTAATGAATTCTTATTGTGTACCAGGAATTATTTTAAGTGCTGAGATTCAGTGGTGAATGCAGTCCTCCAGCTGGATTTTTATTTTCCAATAACTCTTACTGTCTGAATGCTCTTGTTGTATATAAGCAAAATATTCTCAAATATTGTGGAATACACCAAATGTACTATTTTTTAAGGTGACAATTTTATCCTGATCTCTTTTTCTTCCATGTCAAGTCTGTTTTTCCTATTCATCCATTTGACTCTCATGCTGTTGGTTTTCTTTAATGTCTGGTGATCCTGAATTATCCTTTACTTTTGCAAATGAAAAACTAGGCTTATTACTGTACGTAAGTGGCATGAGTTCTATCTGCTTTTGTGTGAGTGTGCTATCTGACAAATCTCTCCTCTCGATGTCAGATCTGATCTCAGTTCTATGTGGGTAGGTGGAGAATGGCCCCAGGAAGCGTTTACTTAAGGATAAATGAGTGTGGAGCAGGCAGGTAGGATATTATGTATCAGTCAGAATTCTTGATTATTAGTAACAGAAGCTGGCTCTAGCTAATTTGTGCAGAAAAATAATTAATTGGCAGAATATTGGGTAACTCACAGAATTGCCCAGAAGGCTGAAAAATCAGGCTTGGAAAACTAGCAGGAACCAAGGGGCCACACCCAAGGATACTCTGTAGGAACAACCTGGTTAGGTCATTGCTGCCAGCCTTTGTGGGTATCACTCCAGGTCCTGGGTGGAGCAGCTGACACTTCAATTGCCAAACCAGAAAGTAGGGTTATCTGCCAGGACCCCAGTAACCACATGTGATAGGCAGAATAATGGCCCCAAAGATGTCCACAGCCTAATCCTGGGAACCTATGAACATGTTCCCTTAAATGGCAAAAGGGACTTTGCAGATGTGATTAAGTTAAACAGTTTGAGAGAGAGTAAGTAGCCTGGGTTATCCAGGTGGGCCCAATTACATGATTCCTTGAAAGTAGAGAAGCTTTCCCAGCTGTGATCAGAGGGAGACGTGACTAATGCAGAAGGGTCAGAGAGCTGCAACCTTGCTGTCTTTGAGGATGGAGAAGGAGAGGCATGAGCTAAGGTAGGTGGTAGCCATTGGTAGCTGGAAAATGCAAAAAACAAATTCTTTCCTAGTCTCCAGAAAGGAATGCTGACACTTTGATTTTAGCCCTAGACTACTGACCTACAGGAGAAATACATCTGTGCTGCTTTAAGTTTTAATCCACTAAGTTTGTAGAAATTTGGTATGGCAGTGATAGAAAATGAATACACCACAAATTTACGGTATTCCTCTGTCATGACGCTCAAGTAAGGAAGTCCTCACTCTGGCAGCAGGCTGTGAGCACTCTGTTCCCTGCTAGAGCTACCTTGTCATCTCCTAACACCTCCTCCTGTATGCATACCTCCCACTGCCTCTGGCCCTCTGGCCCTCTGAAAACGCTACTGATGTTTTCTTTCTGCTAGTTTAGGGTCAGGGGAAGGCCAGTGGGCCCCATTTTCTGGATACAGTTCTTTAACAGATTATCCCGATGGTTGGTTCAGAGACTTCTGAATGTGGAACTCCAGATTTGCTCTTTCCATTATTTTAATCACTTTTTGGATTTGTTTTCTGCAGCCAGTTTGGGGATGTGATTTTTCTTCACTCTTATCAATGTTGATTTCCTTTAACTTCTATCTTTCAAATATTTCTGATTTTTCTCATGATAGTGCCTTTTCTTGTTTATCAGTGCTATATGGATTTCCTCTTTAAAAACCCTTTCCACCTATCATTGTAAGAAAATTTTGGTGGAAGGGGACGTGATCTTATGAGCTCAACTCACCGTCTTGATCCAATTGTTGCCTATTACTTAGGTTGACTGGAGCCTGGGGCTCAGATTGAATCTGAAGGGCTAGAAAGTCCCCTGAAGAGTAGGCTGTATGGCCCAGCCTCAGCAGCAGGCCTGTTCATGGTGGGTTAGCACTGCGGAGGTCCAGGAGGGAGCAGAAGACTCAGGTGGGCGCCAGGGAAGCCCCTTAATAGGAAACGGCAGGACAAACCTGAGGTCAGACCCCAATTTTGCACCTTGGCGACTGTGTAACCTTAGGCAAGTTTAGTCTCTGAGCTTCAGTTTTCACTTTAAAATGGGGATAACACGATCTATTGGATAAGGTTGCTATAAGGATCAAAGACAAGATCAGGAAAATGCTTGTCATAGGCTTGGCATATAATAGCACTGGGTATTTACTGAGTGCTTTTACATGGATTAATCTTGTTTAATCCTGATTTTTAAGCCTATTACACAGATCAGGAAATTGAGGAATAGAGAACTTAAGTAAACAGCTTAAGGCTGTAATCATTAAGTGGGATTTGAACCTGGTCAGTCTGGCTGTCATCTCTGCACACAGACATCATGCTGCAGATTACCCCATGCATGGGTGAGGGCTGTTGGGCTGAGTGCTCTTCTCTGGCTTCTAAAATTTCCTGTGCAGTTTTGGTGGAGGGAGTCAGATTAATTTTAGGAATTGGAAAGGGACTGAGTCATCAAGAAGGGACTAAGTGGCCCCAGAAATAGGCAAGTTGGAGCTGGTAGATCATTGCAGGTTATTGTTTAGTACTTGTGTTTGTTGACTTACTTGCTTTTATTATGTATTTGTTTTGTGGGGGTGACGTTTACATAACAGTAAAGTGCACATATCTTAAATGCATGGTTTAATGAATTTTCACAAGTGTTTACACCTGTGTAATTACCATCCACCTCCAGCTGTAGAACATTTCTAGCCCCCCTAGACAGCTCCCTTATGCCCCTCCCAGTCAATACTGGGCCAAAGGTAACTGTCGAACCAACCTCTATCATCATGGGTCAGTTTAGTCTGTTTTTGAAGTTCATGTAATGGAACATACGGTTTTTGCTCTCGTGTCTGGTTTCTTTCACTCAACTTGTTTTTTATTCTAATAACAAACCAGATGCTATGAATCTGTGAGCAGATGACTACATTCTGTGAGCAGATAGCTTAAGTCTTCTGAGCGTGATGCCAAGGGCTCTGTACACAGGTACGGCCTTTTATGCATCTCAGTAGCCAGCTCTGGGGATGGGAAAGAGAAGGAAAACTTGCCCAGGCAAGGCTGCCATTAGCTCCACACCTGAAGGCTCTCGGGACACCCTGAACCCGAGGATACACGTTCTCGATACACTACAGGTGTGAGGTGAATGTTAGTTTCTTTTCTCTTTCTGGGATTCCCCATGAGTCAGGTTTTAGGATGGACAGCTTTCTATGTTTGGTTGAGGGTGGCATGTGCCATCTTGCAGTTGTGGTGCAGTGGAAAACTCTGAATTGCTCTACATACTTGGATGCGAGAAATGTCCACACCTTCCTCCAGCCTCTGGGAACCCATCTTCTCAGGGTACGGCCATAGCTCTCTTCCCGTGAAACATTACCTTCCATCTCCTCCTTTTTTTACGATAATTTCAGCTTTATTTCTTGAAGAGCCAAGAATTCTCAAAGTCCTGGTTGGGGCTTTTTCCAGATCTTAAACACAAAGAAGCTCTTAAGGCTCTTACACCTCAGCATAAGTGGGTCCTGAGCCGCAGAACAAAAAGCCAGGTTTCCTTCCAGAGAAGAAAAGAAAGGGAAAATCACCTTTCCCTTCTATCACATAAGTCCCCAGCAGAAGTAGGAACGGGGCACAAATGGCTGTGTCAGTAATCCCTCCTGCACCGCAGCACTGGGTTGCAAATCTGCCCTCGGTGGGATGGGGAAAACTAGCAAAAATCACACTCCAGTCTTCTCAGGTCTTTTCAACTAACATGGGGCTGACACCAACCTTACAAAGACGTTGTCATTGGTAAATTAGCTATCGTAAGATTCATACTTAGGATCCCAATAAGTATGTTTTGTTTTCTTTTTTTCTGCAGGAGGAATCACCTGCTTGCATGGAAGGAGGAATATGTGAAGTGAGTGGCCCGGATTACAGGGCTCTGAGAACAGAGAAACGATGCACTTTGCCAGGTAGGTGGGGAGCAGCCTGTGGCTCAGATAGGCTTTTCTCCCTTTTTCTGGCTCCGAGCAGATAAGTGGTCTGACTCCGGAGGTACTGGGAGGCAGTCCTGAGCTCTCAGCATAGTCCTCAAACCTGACTGATCACTAGAATTTCACGGAGAGTTTAAAAAGATCCCCACTCCAGCTGCTTACATTCTCCTACCCTGGCTGAGAACCGAATTTCATCTGGCTGTGCAGATGGGAAAAAAAATTACCCAGGTGATTCTGATGACTAGTAAGGTTTAGAGACTTATTCTAAAATATATTTTAGAAAGTCATGAAAGTCCAATGGTTTAAAATATTTCCTTGTTATCTCAGTGGGGGGTGGGGCATAAAAATAGTAGGACTGGGGTGGTCATGAGTCACCTTGACTATCCCAAAGGAAAAACTTTTGCAGAACTAGATTACATGAACCTTGTCATATACATTGTAAAGCCTAAGTCTTGATTTCTGTGACAAAATTTTCATTAAGGTAGAAGAACAAAGCCTACCAGTACCTTGTTCAAGTAATTGGTGGGACTCTCATTCCCAAACACTAACTAAACTATACCTTTAATTGGGAATTTTTATTATATTCAAGTAAGTCAGAATGATCAAGCATGCTTTTCTCTTCTTTGTAGCCCCTCCTTAACTTCTGTTACTGACAGCACATTAATACCTCCCTCTCTAGATGCAAACTTTGAGCCTTCTGATAAGAATGTGAGAATGGTAGGCCCTTAGGACTGTGGGCTGGTAGCTGAGAATGTCTGTTAGAAGTAGTCAGAATCCTAACTGCTAGCTCAGGTCAGCACATGGAGAGAATGGGAATTAGCCTTCCGATGGAAGACGTCTTGGGGGGATCGAACAAATCTAAAATTCTAGTAATGTTTTATTATATATTGCTGTGATTGAAGCCTTAATTTGGGAATTTGTAATTGAATTTGGGAGCATTGAAAATTTAGGGAGAGGGCAGAAATGAGAAAAGCTCCGGGAAGCTGGAGGACGTGAGCACAGTCTAAGCCCAGGTCGGGGACGAAGAGGGATGGAGCCAGAAAGTAAGAAGACTGTGAAGGTAGAACGGTATCAAAAATATTCTTTCCTTGCTAGGTAATCCCCATCCCAGCTTTCCCGTACATCTTGTTACTATTTCTTCCTGGTAAAAAGCAGAACCAAACTAGTTTCTTGAGGTAGTCTCAAAATGCTTAAGGTGGAAGCCTGGGAGATGCTGAGCTACAGACAGGAAAACACCTAGATGTATCAGGTCCCAGTTCTGTCCTGTGTTGGTTAGATGCCATACTGGGGGCCTTGCTCATGGCACTTTTGCAAACAATGTGGTGCTTGGAGGGTGTCTTCATCACTCATATTTTTGAGAAAATTTGAATACTCTCTGCCTGGGCTGTTTATGTGTTTTGTTTTGTTTCGTTTGAGAGGGTTGGGGTAATGAAGTTTGACTGGAGTAAAACTGGCTTATTGCTGTTAAGAGGTTTGATTTTTGGTTTTGCTGCATTTATAGCAAGCAAATGAAGTCTAAAAATTAAGATTCTTGGTTCTAAGTGCATCAGATTTATACCTTCTCAAAATGAACAGAGGCTTTACTGAAAGTGAATAAATGACTACAAATCTTCATAGCCTGTCATTCCCCCTCACTTTCATCTCTACCCCTGTTCCCACTGGGTTATTTTGATGCATTTGAAGTAAATCTCATGTCATATCATTTCTGCTATAAGTATTTCAGCATATGTCTCTAAAAGATATGAACTAAAAAAAAAAACTGCACATTCAGATTAAGTGACTCTAGCAAAATAAAGAGGTGTACTCTCAAAACAAAACATAACCACAGTGTCTTTATAACTCCCAGAAATGTTGATAAAAATTCCTTAATATCATTAAATACCCAGTTAGGTTTAAATTTCCTCCATCATTTCTAGATTTTGCTGATTACTTCACTGAGATGTTGCTTAACAAATTCCTCTGTTCCTTGTACTTCCTGTAAACTGAGTGTTAGATCTAGAGGTTTAATCTGACTTGGCTTGGCTTTTTTGGCAAGAATACTTCATAGGTGGCATTGTATAATTCCACAGGAAAGCATATGATGTTAGCAGGTGATAATTATCATTGACTAGAAGATTTTTCATTTTTGACCACCCCTCAACTCAACCTGATATCAAACTATATACCTGTTAGACACACCTCATGTATACCCTCTCCTTCGTATTGTTTTAGCTGATTAGAAAATGGTTACTTGGTTGTAAGCTCATCTTGCACACAGAATGTCCTTGGAAAATAATCAGAGGGCTCCATTAACCCTCAATATGTGAAAATAAAATTTTTCTCAGTTCCCACCTATGGTGATATTTTTGGTTGGTTGTCTGTTCAACTGCCAGCCCTCTCACCCTTTTTGTGTGCTACAGAGTCCACTTCCCACTTAAAAGGCTGCCCCAGCTATTCACTTTCCAAAGTACCTGGTTTCTGGGAAACTTTTTCTTTCCTTCTTAATGAGGATATTGTCATCTTTGGTTCTTCACTTGAGGTGTGAGGTTGTTATTTGGAGCTGCTCTGGCCATCTTTTGATCATAGGGAGAAAGCTTGAGTATTAACACCAGTGTGCCCAGGACGGTGGGATGGAAATGGGGGAAGAGTCCAGGTCCTCAGGGAGTCATTGAGCCACTGAAATAGCCAACCTTGCAAATACCATACCTCAAGACTTATGTGAGATTGTAAAGATGGTGGACTTAACCCACTCTTAGTTGGTCTTTTGCAGCTATAAACAACCTAACTAACACACCAGGAATATTCCAATAAATTTCTCTTTTGTTTCTGCTTACTATTTAAAGCTCTGATATTTAAGAAAAAACTCTATAGATCTTGACCTTGAGTTTCTTATAAAATCAATGTCTTTCTTAACTACTCTAAAAGAGCTAAAATGATGATACAGATAGCATAAACCATTGAATCATCAAAATTAACTCATTTTGATGTCATATTTTAAATAAAGTCAGTTTTTGATAAGATACAAGTTGAAAAAGCACACAGCAACTTCAAAGTGGAGATAGAGGTTTAGAAACTTCTACGTTGGTGATATAAATTGGAGTTGAAATATTTTCCAAAGATCATTCTCAAAGCACATAACTAAGAGTTGATTCTGAGTGTTGGCAACAAAGGGAAGCTTTTCTCCTATTACATTATGCTGGACATAACAATCATATTAAGTAGGAGAATTGGAATTTCTGAGTCTCCTCCTTTGCAACAAAACAATTCCCAGGTTTCAAATTGAGTGCACAAGATTAGCAGGAAGAGTGATGAAGATTTAATTTAAAAAAATAGTATAATATTTGAAATCTGAGAAACAGCTGTAGAACCAAAAAGTAAGAGAGTTGATGATCTGTCCTGTGCTTGCTCCTGTTTTTTTTTTAATTGAAATATAATTGACATTATGCTCCTGCTTGTATTTTGCATTCCCAGACTGTGTTTTTTGGACGCAAAGCTTCATTGTTGTTTGGTCAGTAGATTGTACCTTTGTCCTTTGAGACAAGGTGTTGACAGCAAGTGATTTCAGAAAACCCTTGGTTACAAACCTTCTCTGTGCTGTGTAAGGAAGCCCTGGCTCATAAATGGATGACATCAGCAGGCTTCCCACCCACTCCTCTGGATCCTTCCGCGTAGAGATTCATTGTTAATGACTTTGACTCTGAACAGCTGCTGGCCCTCACTGGCTTCATTCACTGTGAAGATGGTAATCATACATCCCAGATTTCAAATAATCTGTCCTGTTTTCAGACCATGTGTCAGACCATCTGCTTTGGTGTCTTACTAGGAAAATATCACCTTAAGTATGGCACAACTCTGTCCAACTTGTCTGCCCACTTGGAGGTTTTCCCCACATCTCCTTGTTTTGGATGCCTCTTCAGGTGGTGTCCCTTCTTTGCTAAATAAGCAAAATTACACATGTGTCTTCAGTGGAAATATCTCCTTAAGGATCCTGCCTAGAAGGGATTTCAACATAGCCAATGCTAAAATTAGACACTGTAAAAAAACTTTTAAATAAAAACATAAAATTAGGCACAGTAAGACAGAGCCTACCTCCCTATGAAAAGCTACTTGATCAGAATTCTGAGTGAGTTTAATGTCCATTATCACAATAAAATTCAAAACCTTTAATGAGTCATAGGGTGATACATTTGAGCAGGTGAAATAACTTATCTGGGAAAAGCCACTGAAAGGAAGAAGGCAGGGTTAGGGTTCAGCTTTGGAGATGAGGTAAGAACAAAGAGTAGCTTCAAAGCCCACTGAGGGCAGACATGCTGTCTAGTGGTGGGTCAGGCAGTGGGCTCACTGCTTACTCTGACACTGTGGCTTGGAGAACATACCAGAATCTCTGCTATCTTTTGTGTACTTAATGCAGTGAACCAGGCACATGAAAGGTGATTAAGAGATAACTTGCTGAATTACATTGACAAATAACTTTTACTTGGATCTACTGTGTTTGCTTCACCAGTTAAATGATTTGCAACCATCTTTCTGGTTCAGAGTATCAAAGCTTGCCTGAAATGCTGTAAAGAATGTTTGTACTTACAGATAGTTTTTCATGGAGGTAAGACTTTGATTTTCTGAATTTTTTTTTTTACCTGACTATGTAGCCAGAATATTAGAAATGAAATTTAGGAGAGGGCAGACAATCCTTGAGTGTAAGGAGGTTGGTAATGCCTTGGGACAGCTGAATAAATATATGTAGCTGGTTCCATGGGCCTTACCCAAGCCTTTTTATAACTATTTTACAACTATCAGGTGTCTTATAGACATTTTTCCTGTGAAGTAGTCAAGCTGTAAACAGAGTGAATCCTTACTGATAGTCATAAAAAAAAAGAAAGAAAGAAGAAAAGAGCAGCACTACCATTATTCTCCTGATGGAAACATCTTTTGTTTTTGGAAGCACAGAACCAAGGGTGTGAGGGCAGATCTGGGCTGTGGACCATCACGGGGCCTTTGCTCTA